TCATTTTACACTTTGACTACAGGCCAGAAAACATTTTATTTTCGCTTATACTTTTACTATATATGAATACTCAGAAATGACGAAAACAAATTACCATGTTAACATGGATTAGAAAAATATTTAAAAAAAACACGTGGATCTTTAAATTCGGAAAAACGATTAGGCTAACCCGCAATGTTCCTTTGTTTGGCGGTTTACAGAATTTTTGTTTTGGGCAAAAATATTTTGTTTAAATATAGCATGAATTCAATTTAATTTTTTCCCCTTTTTCAATTTTCAGTTGTTTGTGATTGATATTTGACCCGTGGTTCTTGACAAGTGTTTATTTCAAATTTGAAAACAGGAACATAATTTTTCGTTCAACCCTTTATAGTATTATATAAATGCTAAGAAATGGCGAAAAAATTACCGCGCTAAAATTGAAAAATATTTAAAGAAGCAAGGAAGAGAGCTGAAAAATAAAAGAAGGAATAGAAGTATTAAATTTCAGCAAAATGATTAGGCTAACCCGCAGTATCACCTTGCATGGCAGTATAGTCGAATTTTATTTTTCAAACGAAGTTGTTATTTTTTAAAGGTACAACTTTAATTTTAATGAAAGCGATAAAAACAAATTGTAACTAGATATTTAAGCCCGTTTGATTTTAGAATTTTTAAGATTATACTCGAATAGGTAAACAAGTTTTGGGACATTAAAAAAATATTTCTCATGATGGTTCGCCAACATACCGCTAGAAAATGTATTCTTTTGTTCTGTGGTTAATTTTTTTACAAAATTTTTAGTGACAGTTACTTTTTTTTTGCTGCAAAAATCTGTGGCCAGATGGATTTTTGAACTGAAATATATGACGTGTCCCAAAATACAATTACATATTTTCATTACTCACCAACTAGTGACTCATTTGACTTAAAATAGTTTTTAACTAATTTCTTGATACCTAAACTACAAAAATTAATAAATAAGCAAAATGTGATTTATAGTTTAAAAGATTGAAAAATATAACAAATCAAACAGCATGTGAAGAAATAGCAATATTGCCTTGTTTGGCGGTTTAGTAGAACTTTATTTTTCAGGCGAAGTTATTTGTTAAGTTAATTAAAGTTTTTAGTTGAGATAAAAAAGTCAATAGCACGAGCGGGATTCGAACCCACGATATTCGGCTAGATACGCCGCTGGTCTACCACTTGAGCTATCGTGACCTCGATCCACTCGGACACTAACTTCCCATCTCAACCCAATTCAAATTTCAAAAATTCAAAAGGTGGGGTTGAGATGGGAAGTTATTGTCCGAGTGGATCGAGGTCACGATAGATCAAGTGGTAGAGCAACAGGGTATCTAGCTGAATATCGTGGGTTCGAATCCCGCTCGTGCCATTGACTTTTTTTATCTCAACTAAAAACCTTAATTAATTGTAATATATTAATTGTTCAAGCGGACCACGAAATTAGTGAATTATTTGTTAAGGTATAGCTTGAATTTTAATTGAAACTATAAAACCAAATTGATAGATAACTAGATATTTAAATGTTTTGGATTTTAGAACTTTTAAGATTATACTTGAATTGGTGAACTACTTTTGGGCACTTACAAAACATATTTCTCGTCGCCAACATACCGACAAAAATGTTAGAAAATTTGGCACACTTTTTGCGTTTGTTCTGTGTGTTTTTCTTTGTTTGTTATAAAATCTTTTGGGCGAAAAATAAATGATATGAAAAAGCAAGAGAATAAATAAATTTCGACGAAATGATTAGGCTAAACCGAAATGTTACCTTGTTTGGCGGTTTAGTAGAATTTTAGGTTCTGGGCGAAGATAATATTTTTTAAAGGATAGTTTGAATTTTAATTGAAGCTAGTAACCAATTTGAATTTAGTTATTTAAATATTTTCGACTTTAGCATTTTAAGATTATACTTGAATAAGTATTTTTCTGGACTTAGAAAATTAAATTTTTCGTAATAGGTCGCCAGCTTACAGACATAAAGGTTGTAAAATCTAGCCCTCTATTTTGCCTTTTGTTCTGTGGTTAAGTTTTTACAAAATCTTTAGGGAAGTTCACTTTTTTTATGCCAAAAATATTTGATCAGATGTGTTTTTTGACCAAAATGTGTGACGTGCCCGAAACTTAATTTTCTTTGATAACTGATTGAGTGAAATTGTTAATATTAGGACTTCTCATATCTATTAATATATGATGTACAAGAATAAATGTTCTCACATAGACATTTACCTTGGTTTTTATCTTAATAAAATAAACAAAAATATATAACAAAGCACAATGCTATTTTAGTTTCAAACTTCGACAAACGATTAGGCTAACCTGCAATGTACCTTTGTTTGGAGGCTTAGTCGAATTTTGCTTTCCGGCGTAGATGATATTTCTTAACTAATTAATTAATTTTTACATGTTATTAGGAAATGCATGAGGTTGATGTTTTAGGAGATAATCAAAATTCGTTTAATTCTTATGCTATTTCAGTATCAAACAGGTTTCCGTAGGCAAGTTCCGCAGTCGATCATGCTTGCTTCTCGACAGTGATATTCGGAATACATTTAATAGAGGGCACGCTTTAGCTGTATTCTTTGACCTCCAGAAAGCGTATGAAACGACGTGTAGATGTGCGATACTTCTGAAATGTTGTGATATCGGATGTAGAGGCAAATTAGCCCGGTTTCTTACGTCTTACTTGAGGAACCGAAAATTCCGTGTCAGATTGGGGTGCGTGCTGTCCAAGTCCTTTATTCAAGAGAATGGATTCCCTCAGGGTTCAGTGATAAGCGTTACACTTTTCTTGATCGCAGTGAACGGTATCGTTGATGGTGTCCCCCTTTTTCCTTTCGGGGAAAGACCTAGCGTTGGTCGGAGGGGTAATGCAAACAAGCGGTAAACATTGTGGCTGGAAGAAGCGAGGAATTCGGATTCGCCTTCTCTGCTTCGAAAACCGTATGCGACCACTTTGGCAGGCTGAGGAGGGCCCACAGCATTCCGCAGCTCTGCCTGAGGGGTCCTGAGACAAGGCACGTAGTTCCTCGGCCTCACGTTTGATCAAAAGCTTAGATGCCAGCCACACATTGACAAGTCGAGGTGATAGGAAGGAAAGTAATAACATTATTATTAAAGTTCATCTGTGACTTCAGGTAGGGAGCAGATAGGGAGTCCCTCCTGAAAATATTTAAATCGCTGCTGTGCTCGACCTCGTTTTATGGTTGAATGGCCTATTGTTAGCCCAAAAAACGCGTCTGCAGAGGTTCGATAGGCTTTACTCTAAGGTCTTTGAACGGTTTCCGGTTCAGAACAACCTCTTTGGCTAGCCTTTACTGCGAGCTGGGAGTGCCGCCGCCCGAATTTCGGAGGGAGCCGCTCACCCTCAGCTAGCGGCGGGGTTCCTTGCCAAACCGGGGCATCCGCTTTCGGATGGCACCGGCAAACTCCGCCCTAGATCCTCTCAGCCGTATATGTCCGGGAAGATCTCGCTGTGTTAGACATACTTACGGTCTACTCCGCCATAGTTTTATCGAGTTAAGTTCTTAGAGCTTAGATCGTGGTACGCTGGTTTTCGGCACGTCTATCGGGAGAGTGCGCCCACTTCGTGGTCGTTCCCCCCGCATTGTAGCATTTTCACGGCAGAACTGTATGCGATTTGGCACGCACTTGGGGTGATTGGAGACGATGGTGGTTTGCTTACCTAGTCTGCACCGACTCCCTCAGCGCGGCTACTGCGGTTCGTGACAGGTTTTCTGTCGACCCTCTCGTAGTGCTTTCGTTGGTGAGATACCACGAACTGAAGCGTCTCGGAAAAACGGTGGTTATTGTCTGTGTACCTGGACACATAGGTCTGGAGAATAATGAAAAGGCGGACGAGGTGACTAAAAACCGGGACGTACCAATCTCTGAATTTAACCACCGCGATCCGGCTCTCTGACGTTAAGAATGCAACAAAAACCACGATTAAAAGAAGGTAGTATCATCAGTGGGCCGGATCGCAGAGAGGTTCTCGCCCATCACGAGCACTGTCGATTGGTGGCCCTCGGAGGTCTCTGACTGGTAGAAGAAGGGTCATCCTCACCCGATTAAGAATAGGACTGCGAGGTTGACATACGGACACTTACTTTTGAGGCAAAGCCCGCATATGTGTCCGGCATGAAGAGAAAGGTTGCTCAATGTGTCCCACCTAATTGAAGGGTGCAATTCCTTGGCTCCATACAGAGAGCGCGTAGGAATGCCACCCGATTTGAGAATTGTGCTTGAGCCCGACAGCGAGTATTTGGGTCCCTGTTCCGATTCTTGGAGGAAAGAGTTGTTCTATTGTATATAGTAATAATAGTTGTGTATACTTAGTTTGTCTTGAGAGTGAATGTATTTATTGGCGTGAATGTGCGATGTGAGAGGGTCGATGTCGGAGTATCAAGTACCCCATCGACCCACAATTAGGCTAGTTGTATAGTATGTGAAAAGAGTGATGGATTAATATCGAGTACTCGACCACCCTACTAAGAACGAACGTGAGTAGGAATGGCATTGGAACTGCATGCGTAGGGTGTTGAATTAACCTGGCTATTGACAGAACCCCCCCCCCCCCCGCGAGACCAACATCGGCGGTTGGACAGATATGTCTGAGGGTGGGTTACAAATTTCAAATGTAATTTTTTAAATATAATTTAATTTAGCAGCTAACGAAATCCAAGATCCCCGCCAAGTCGCCCACAAAGGAACATTCTTGGTCCCATCCTGTATACTGTTTACACGGCTGACTTTCCTATTTATTCCAGCTGTATTATACCGCAATTTTGTCTTCTAATCCGAATCCTCTCTAAGCAACCTCCAGCATCCAACAACCATTTTATCAAAGACTGGTTTAGAAGGTGGAGGACAAGACTGGAAGAGGAAAAGTATAACCAAAACAGTTTAAAGAGTTCGAATGTGATACGAATTTTTTATTTATTGAAATTTTTCAATTGATAAAATACTTAAGGAAAGAAAAATAAAAATTGCTAGACTTTACATTGCATCGTGTCTATTTATTTACAACGAAAGGTTTACATAAAATGAGGTAGCGACTGAAACATCTTAAAAATTAACTAAAACTAATAATATTTACATATTAAACAAAAAAAAACCTTTTTATATATTTTAAATTACAGAAAAAATACTTACAATCGTCTTAAATTTTCTTAAAAATTAAATAAAAACATCGACAAAAATTTTACAATTTCAATTTACAAATTAAATTACAGTCTCATTTAGAGGAGTCTAAGTTCATTTACAGCCAAATTGGTATATACAAAAATATTTATACAACCGTTTTTTTTTTCTTGTACTAAAATAATTAAGGTTTTAAACTTTAGAAAAGAAAAAGAATAACACGTGCTAGAAATGGACGCAGTGGACAAAATTATTTTTCTTAATTAAATCTACACAAAACCAAATAATATACGGATAATTAAAGTACACATAATCCGGCGAAATCGCCATTAAACTCAATTGAATAAAGAATAATTAAATGTCACTTTTCTTTATTGTGTAGTATGCTAAAAATCAATGTTTCTAGTCAAAACTGTGCACTTTCTTCATCGTTGAGCCTTATATTAAGATCTTTGTAGGCATGGATGAAAAGTTTGTTTGAATTTTAAGCTTATCTTCTAATTTTTTCGTTAGTACAAGTGCAAACGTTAAGGGTAACTTTTTTTTGAACGAACTATTGCTTTTTTAAAAATCATTTTGTCTAATGGTTTTAGTGTAGATTGTCAGAATTGAAAATAAAACGTTCTATCTCTTCTGGAACGGTTAAATGTAACTACCTTTGCTGCTAAATTGGATTCTTGCAGTTCTTTAATAGGAATTTAAATTTATTTTGTAGGAAAAACGTAGTGTTCCTAATAGATAAAATTTCTCATTCTAATCGAAAACAACTCCTGAGATCACAAAAATTCGTCTGGCGATTTTTTTAAATTCTACCGCGCGGTCCGATACGATGGTTCGGAATTAAAAAGAAGTTCCACCACCTTTGCTTTTTGTTTATTCGAATCTCGAATCTTCCGAGTGTGATCTTATGACCGTGACTGCCATCTCCTGAGCAGAGTCGACTCAACCATTTAAACCGAATTTCATTATTTGGTCGAAGAGAGTAGTAAATAAGAATATACATTACACATCAATTACTGCATCACGATTAAATATTTCATAGAGTATTTTTTTTTTTAAATCGGTTCTGTATGGTGCTCAAAGGGAAGGTCGGGAAATGTTGAAAGGGTCATCATTCGGGTCGTATCCGCTATTTTATGAAATTTATTTTATTTTCAGATTACGTGCAGGCGCATTCCGAGGCTTTCATACCGACCCATGTCGATATAGCCAGTTTGGACGAGTCTTGGGAGCTCAAATAGAGGACTTCGACGTTCTCCATTTTAGACGGTACGCAGCAGAGGGCTTTCTTTTCCTTCTTCATCATCCAGAACATTGTTTTGATGTTGGTGTAATGGTTGAGCCAGTTGTGCCTTCCGGGGCAGGAGCCCATGCAGTAACCGACGTCGTAGGAAAACGGTTGGATCACGAACTCGAAGCCGGGCGTCATTTTGAAAAGCATCTCCATTCGCATCCGACAGCAAAGGTCCGCATTGGCGGGCAGTTTTCTGCAGTCGGAAACGACAAACGGCGAATTGTCCTTGGGCAGTTTCGGATCGGATTGTCCTAAGATGAACGACTCCCATTTCGTCTTTGACGCTCTCTTCGTCCGTGTCAGGGGGCTCCCGCCCAAAATGCCCTGTCTGTATTTGAATAAATTGAGAGTAGGCTGTTTTATAACACATGCTGGATGGCAGGTCACTTCGAACGGAGTTATCGGATCAACCGATATGACGAATATTTCCATCCATTTCGGCAATATCTCGGGATCTAGGGTTTTATTCTCGAGAACGTTTTTGTAGCGATCTTTGACCAAAAAATGCATCCTTTTCGTGGGCTTTTTCGGGACAAGGAACAACCTGAACGTCGCTCCTTCCACAGCGTAACTCTTGAACCTCTTGTCTCGAAATGTAATTTTATGCTTGTTCTCTTTGGTAGACGTTCCTGCAACAAATACAAAAATTATGTTATTACTTTTTAAAAAAATTATTATTCTGTAAAAGCCAATTAAAGTATAAAGAATAGGTTGACTGTAATAAAATACAGCAATCCTTCACCAATCGATGGTAGCTGTCTGCGAGTCGGTATACACATGTCAAACTGGCATACGTTTAAACTTGCGGATTTCCATGTCACTCATACGCGTTTCGGCATTGGGCCATGTTCAGTGAGAAATTCGTTTCTTTCCTCATAGTTCCTCACTGAAGATGGCGCAAAACCTAATCGCGTTTGATTGACATCGAAACCCGCGAGTGTAGACAGACCCAGTACAGACATGCATCCTTCAAAATCGGTGAGTTTTGTATTTCGCGTAAAAACAAAACAAAAACGGTTTTCAATCGTTTGTTCAGCATTTTTGACATTTAAATATCCAAGAAAAATCCAAAAATCCCAATATCGCGGACTGTTTTTCTTAGTTTCTTTTAAGCCAAACCCATATGAGAATAATGGCAGCTTTACTGAAATAGAAGGGAGCATAAAATATTTAAAATGTCGTCGGGCGACTTTTCAACATCAACGGAAAAACAAATGAGTGAAATAGATAACGTGGAGTGAGTATATCAATTCTCTGGTTGAAAAGAATGATAATTGACCTAGGGACATATTATAATACTTCACATCCGCATATTTGAGGAGAAAATCGTGGAAAAAATTGAATCATAAATAATATATAATGCGATAATGATAATCATAATCTGTCTCTAACCCTAACCTTGACCTAATATAACCATTCTCTAAACACACCTAACTTAACCTAGCGTAAACCTTCCTTAACCCTAACCCTGACCTAATATAACCATTCTATAACGACACCTAACTTAACCTAGCCTAAACCTTCCTTAATCCTAACCTTGCCCTACTTTCCTAACCTAACCTAACCGTTCCAAACTTGACATAACCCTAACTCTAACCCTACCTAACGTAACCATCCTAACTTGACATAACCCTAACTCTGACCCTGTCTAACGTAGCCATCCTAACTTGACATAATCCTAACTCTGACTCTGTCTAACGTAACCATCCTAACTTGACATAACCCTAACTCTGACCCTGTCTAACGTAGCCATCCTAACTTGACATAATCCTAACTCAAACCCAACGTGATCTAAGTATTCCCGACCTGAAATAACTCTTGTAAGTTTACAGCTGCTGAAGCCGTTCGTTTGTATAATTTAAAAGGGGAGGAAATTCTGAAAGAACGAACTGTGCGGAGGTGGGTCGACCGCGTATATACGCCAAAAAATCGAGCCTGATTCACAAAAGCTCCTCTTTTCCAGTCGACAGTAAATTGCCACTTAACCGGACAAGGTGAAAAGATCTTGTAAAGAGGTTCCGCACATCTTGAACAAATGTCACAAGTCTTCAAAACCCTTATGATTTATTAGTTTTATTAGGAGCATTAGTGATAGTGAAGATAAATATATACATTGGCGTAATCGTAACGCAATGGATTTTGAGAAAAAACTTTACTTTTCGATTTTGGGAATTATTAAGGTTTGGTGACTGCCTGTGGATTAATAAATATTTTATCAGGATTCATCCATGAACAGCACCCCTCTTTAAGCAGGGTCTCAACCGGCTTAAATCATTTAAATCGGACTTTTTTCACCAACGAAATAAATAACTCAAGCCAAATGATACAGGGCCGTTTGTGACAGTAATTGCTCACTGGACAGCAGCCCTTCAAGGCGTCATGGCTTAAGAGTTATTCTCAGATGGTCACTCAGTGGGTTCTCAACTACTGTGAACAGCCTGAAAAGATGGACGAGGTTTACAGGATTATCGGGGGCGTCGGTGGCCGCAACGGTTAAGGCGTTGACACTGCCCGTGAGGTAAAGTTCCCAGGTTCGAAAATATCGACGAAAGGTGTTTTTACCACATTCTCCTCTTTACCAGACCTGGCCCTTTCGGACTACTTCCCTGATAGGTTTTTTTCGAAGTCTCCAACTTAGTAACACTTTAAAAAAAAAATTATTATTGTACGTGAAAATTTGGATTTAAAGCTAGGAGCAATACAAGAAACAAAACAATAATGTTATGTTAAATTAAGTTCAAAACTATTAACATGGCATCAGTTTAAAATCTGGAACTGATTCAACTATTTCATCTCCTACTTCTCTTTCGTAAATAAATTACATCGGATCTGGACTAGCAGTTGATTTTAAAAAGAATTTCCACATTTTTATTTATTATGTTCATCCATTACCTTGCATAGAAGCCACCGTGGTTCAAAGCTTTTAAAATACAAATATATCAAATTGTAATTCCATCTTATCATTTTTACCATGGTGTAATTTGTCATAAAAGCATTGGGGGTTGTTAAATTGACGGATTGACTTCGATAGCAATTAGATGATAAATGGAATCAGAACACTCGCCGGAACCGAGGCTGATTCGTTTAACAGTTTCGAGAAGGCGGATATTAAAAGATTGATACCGTGTGTACCTACTCGCGTCCAGCTGGTGCGTAACAAGAAAATTGATAGTTTAACGCGTCTTCTGATAAAACGATTAAATCTGACCATCCATGAATGAATATCAATTCAAATTGTCAGCAAGGCTTTCGGATTATGGCGTTTCGACAGATTTTCAGTTTTATCTTGTGATACTTCAAAGACAAACGGAGGCTATTTTGAGAACTGGGCGGCCTTTTTTGTACGGACACATGCCTATCTATCTGTCCGTGAACGCTCGACAAAAACCGTGCCTGTCTTACCTTCTAGAAATACGAAACTACACCGAACTACATCTGAACCTTTTAGGAAGGTTCGAACGAATAATTTATATTGAATTATTTGATAGAAATAGATAGTAGAAATATTTATTAATTATAAGAAATTATCGATTTATAAGGGTTTCTGAATTATAGAATGAATGTAACCATACCAAATATGACCAACAAGGAGTCCTTGAGTTCATAGAGGCCTTTTTTATTGATGAACAACTGTTTTGTTTTTGGCCAATTTTTACATTAACTTATATTTTGGAACCCCTATATAACCCAACCCTGGAAAATACACCTTTTCCTACAAAACTAAGGTCTTCCCTTGAAGCGCCATTGCGCACTTTTCTTGAGATGAGAATTGGTTAGTGCTTCTCATCCAAAAAAGATATGACGATGTTTCTGCCTGTATTCTATAGGTGTAGACAGTGCCGGTATAGAGGAATTTTCCTAAAATTCTGCCTGACAGAGACTTTCTTCGTATTTTATTAAAGAGATTTATGAAGCTTAGTTAGCTTAGCAGTTTGGCATACCTGGTGCTTTTGACCAGTGCTTCAGTGTTTCTTTTTCAAGCCATTTTTCCAACACACTCTCCGGTGTGCCTAGTTATGCTTACCATGGGTGAGAGGTTCTTTGGCTAGATGGTTATCCTTTTCGTTCCTTCTCTTCGTGTCCTGGAACCCGCCTTAAAGTAACCTGTTTCCGTAGGTCTGTAGGGCAATTTAGGCATATCCAGACCAGTTTGGAGCTAAATACCTACGCGTTTAGCTGTCTGTCCGAAATTATAACCTCTGCTCCTGTCATATTCTTCTTTATTAGTTGGACCTCAGGTTGGAAGATGGTTGAAAACAGTCCAATAAGTTTTGCAAGGGTATGATTCCTTTTACCCCTACAGCTACACCCTGTTCCATCTTCGGTACATCAGTGTACCATATTTGAGCCGCTTGTTGAAACTTAAGGCCACTTTTCTTTCACAGAACTCTGTTATCTCTGACCACTGTTAATTTAGAGTTTTCGTCTCATTTTGTCAGGTACTATTATAGACATCTCTCCAGAATATTGTTATAGCTTCTCTTTAGATCTGGTTAGACCTGATATTTAAGGATGAGAGATAGACTGGGACAAGTATGCGTTGCTCATGTTATATTAAGTCACAACAGTTTTTTTAGACTTTGCGATTTGTTTTGTGTCTCCTTGTTCAGTGTTTTTTACATACTGTAGCTCCATATGTGACCAAGGACCATTGTAGTATAGCCATTTGTTCCCGAGTTTTCCTGCATAATCTCCGGCCAGAGTCCGCCAATGCCTATTCCGACTATTGTCCTTTAGGAGCGGGAGTACCACAGGGCAGCGTACTTGGTCCTTTACTTCCTCTACGCCGCAGATATCCCCGACTCTCCACCGACGACAAAGCTGACCTATCCTCTTATCCCCATCTTAGAATTGCTTCGGAGGAGCTCCAGGTAAATGTACTGCAAATGGAGCAAAGACTGGCGTATGAAACTTAATGAAAGCAAAAGCACCCACTCTTATAAACAAAACTCTTCATACAATATTCCTCAAAAATACTTCCGACCCAAAAACAGAGTCTGCAACCTTGGGTTCCATCGAGACTCAAGACTAACCTGGAAACAACGCACACGACTAAAGCATTTCGGATTTTTCTACACAACATTTTTACAAAAAACAAAGTGACAATCTAGAAGAAAACACTAAAACTAATCTGGACGTACGGACAAGAACTGTGGGGTACCGCTAAACCTGCTAACATCCAAAGAATACAGACCTTCCAAACTAAAGTCCTCAGAACCAAAGTCAATGCTCATTTTGGTGGAAATAAACATTTTCCACTTTCCATAATAAACTCTCCTCTTGCCTAAATCGAATTGCCAATCCAATAGAAATCTCACCAATCGAGATGGTCTCTTCCGAATAGTTTGGAGAACCACAAAGGTCAACTCCCCTCATGACACATGATCTATGCCATTTGTAAATATTGTATAACAGTTCATTCCATTATGTAAATAATGTACAGATTGTAATAGTATAAAAAATGCTATGGAGTTCCATGGGCTCATGTAGTATGATGTTACATGATTTCTCTATTTGAGCCTTTGTTCTTTGCCTGGTACTTGTTTCTTCGTCGAAAATTAAGGCTTTTCTTTAACAGCAGGTGCTTTTAAGTTTAGCTTCCTTCTTTGTTTCAAAGCTATGAGAGATG